GGAATGAGAAGTAAAGTAATTTTCCCCCGCCACCTTCCTTCTTGCAGTCTTTAGTGGTCTTTCATTCGGGTTCCCTTTGCTCCCTGAAAAGACCATTGACCCTGTTGCCTCTTTGCTGCTCGGGGATGTTGGGGCACTGTGGGGGTGATGCTGGGGGTGACGCTTTCGCTCAGGACCAGGCTGCAGAGCTGGGCGCTGGGGCTATCTGGCAGCCACAGCTCCTGCTGCTTCTCGGCTCAAAGGTGACATCTTTTCCCCAGTTATTTGTGTGAAACACCCTTCGGTGCGAGAGCCGAGAGCAGAAAGCGGGTGCTTTCATCCCCATCAAGGGCAGGGATCACCTAGACCTGGTTTTATAGCATCTCCCCAGCACCAGGGCATGGAGGGACTGAGACCGTGCCAGGGGTGCCAGCTCTGCTCAAGCATGGAGAAGATGGCTTTGGTGGCACTCAGGAGAAGATGGCTTTGGTGGCACTTATCTTCTGGTTGCACTGGTTTTCTGGGGTGTGACAGCAGTGGCTTCAGCGCCACCGCCATGTCCTTAATGGTGCTTGTCTTCCCTCTCCGCAGAGCTACACCAAGAGCGCTGCCTTCATCGTCACCCTGCACCCGCTGCAGAACACCACCACCGACTTCTGGCGGTTGGTGTACGACTACGGCTGCACCTCCATCGTCATGCTCAACCAGCTCAACCAGTCCAACTCCGCCTGGGTGAGTGTTGCTGCCTGGGTGACTGCGCCGGCCACCGCGGGTGGCCTTGTCCTGCTCTGTCCCCACTGCCTTGGAAATGCTGCAGCCCCTACCTTGCTCGCTCAGCTGCTTCTCCTCTGCAAAGGGAGGTGGGACTGGCTTTATCCCATGGGATGGGATTTATCCCGTATAAGCACAGGGCTGGCCAGCTGGAGCTAAAGATACATGGCAGCGGCAAACCAGCCCAGCTTTGTTGGGTTGGCCTTGGATTTGCCTTGGGTAGGCCTTGGGTTGGCCTTGGGTAGGCCTTGGGTAGGCCTTGGGTAGGCCTTGGGTAGGCCTTGGGTTGGCCTTGGGTAGGCCTTGGGTTGGCCTTGGGTAGGCCTTGGGTTGGCCTTGGGTTGGAGTGATGCCCCAGGAAGATACAAGGTTAACAACAAGTATAACCTTGTTATAAAAACCTGATTTTTATCCTCCTTTTACAAAGCGGAAACTGAGGCATGGGGGATTTCCCTCGTTCATCTTCTGAGGGCACTGGTACCTGGTGAACGCCACATTACAAATCAGCCTGTTGCAAAGCGGCTGTCCCGTGGGTTCTGTGGTGTGATGGGGTGTGCAGATCTGCTGATCTGGAGGGGACATGTCCCCCGTCACCCGGGGGAGAGGGGACAGAAGCCAAGGAGCTGGGGGCCATGCTCAGCCTTGCCTCGCTTTGCTCTCCTGGTGCACCGCTCGTAGGGGAATGCCTGGAGTGCTCCTGCCGCTGCTGGAGCGGATGTAAAAGTCTGCTACAGGTCTGTAATGTTAATTCAATGAGGAAACTTACTGGATTTTTACATAAAATTAGCATTATAGACTCTTAATGGATGTCTGGAGAAGACTTCATTAGCTGGCTTGTTTTACGAGTTGAGATCAGATACTCGATGTAAATGACCCAAAACGGCAGTTGTACCATTTGTCGTAAGGATGCAGGCGGATGCGGCACCGGAACCGAGCGGTGTGTAAATACGCTGGTATTTATTTATGTATATCAACATGCTGGACACGTGCAGAGCTGTGGAGCGCACCCACGCGCCCCTCCGTGCTGTGCTAATGCCTCGTGCTCCAGAGGACCTCTGTGTGGGGTGACATTAAGCAGACCCTGAGCATCGAGGGATGTCCTGGGGGGGTCTCTTGCCCTGCGGAGGTTTGCCAGGAGGGGAGGCAGAGCTAGCCCCAGAGAGCTTCCCAGCTCCTGTGCTCACTCAGGGTCCCTCTTAGATCAGGCTCATGTTTAACGAAGCGATCTGCCCGTGGACGGGCTGAAATGAGCAGGTTTGTGTGACCAGGGGTTGTTGGAGAAGCCCCTTCCAGCACCAGCAGCTGGGACTGCTTTGACTGTGTAGAGCTTGACGATGGTGATGAAAAGGTGGAGTTGTTATGGGTAAGAATCAGGAAAAGCCGAAAAGGTAGATAGCATGGTGGGAGTCAGTTGTGGACCACCCAACCAGGGTGAAGAGGCAGATGAAATATTCTGTAAGCAGCTGGGGGAACTCTCACAATTGCTAGCCCTTGTTCTCACAGGGGACTTCCAACTTGTCAGATGTCTTCTGGAAATACAATACAGCGGTGAGGGAACAGAGCAGTCTAGGAGGTTCCTGGAGTGTGTGGAAGATAATAAATTCCTGACGGTGACGGAGCCAAGTAGGGAAGGTGCCCCACTGGACCTGTTGTCTGCAAACAGAGAAAGCCTTGTGGGTGATGTGGTGGTTGGAGACCGTCTTGGGCATAGTGAGCATGAAATGATAGCGTTTTCAGTTCTCAGAGAGGTAAGGAGAGTGGTTAGCAGGACCGGAACAGGTTGCCCAGGGAGGCTGTGGAGTCTCCTTCTCTGGAGATATTCCAGCCCC